TACGCGCTTTAAAACCTATAATTCGGACATATATGTCTATAAACATTCTCTGCACTCAAATGGTTCGATCAACGCGATAACAAGGTATTAAAACTTCCAGCCATTGAATCAGGACCACTTGGAGTTTCATATAACTCTTTTTTAGTAAAGTTTGAAGAGCTTGAACGAAGTTTAATTGTAAGTTTTATTAATCATTTAAAGTTTTACATGCATACATTACATAGATTATTTATTATAATTGAGTATTCTATTGTGAGAGTGGCACAGTTATTATACGTAACGAATGGTCAAGCACTAGCAATGAGCATCAGTTATAAAAAGAAATATGCGATTGAAGAAAGAATACTCTTTTTCTACGAAAAGAAATACTGGAATATGCGAGAAGAAGGAGAAACTTAAATTGCGTGTATGTGCAGACCTTTGCAATTAATAAAACCGATTGTTAAATTGTTTCAGACTTTTCGGTTTCGCTAAAAACACGTTAAAACATGTTAAACATGTGGAACATTACGAATGATTCTAGTTCAATGGCCACGGACCGTTATTATTTCGATTATCGTGTACCCAAGATCGTTTTCCGATCGAGAGAAAAAAAAAGAAAGCAAGCGAGCCGAGACAATCGGAACGAAATTATTTAAATCGTAAATAGATTCAACTTGAATCTCGAACGCGTACTTTTCAGCGAACACTGCTGGCTAAAACGATAGCGTAAGTGAATAAAAAGAAGAACTTGTATGTGTGTTAGAGTTATTCGTAGGCAATTAGAGAGCGTACAGTTTCTTAGTCATTGACATTCGTGGCTTCCTTCTTTCGTATTTTCCGCTCATTCGTCGTCGCGCTATGGTGAAAAGTATTCGAGTATTAGAACTCGTTTCTACGATCAGTAACGTAATAACGTTGGTACGATTTTTAGACTTCGATTCGATTCTGTGTAACGGAAGTTTAATTGCCGCTCGAGATTTGTTTGTTTTAAAAGTTAAAAAATTGGGTTCGGAACGTCTTGTAACAGCTGACAATGCGAAGACGTACAAACAAAACTGCGGCACAACATTACGAAAGTTACTATTACACCGAATGTATAATAATAGTTACTTATCAGAAAAAAAAAAAAATGTTTCATTGACAAAAAGTTCGATTGATTACACATTCTGTTGTTGTAATTCTTTCCTTGCAGTAACGAGGAGTTGAAAAGAAAAATATTTTTCACATGGTTATATTATGTACTTTTCACGCGTGCTTCTGATAGTGTAAGCAGGTCCCGAATTTCGCGGGACGATACGGGTATTCGTACTTAGATATTCATACTATCCGAATAACGTTGCATCAGTACAAATATGACAAAATAACATCTGCTACCTGAATAAGTACCTGTGTTATTATTTTAACTTTCCAGACTGAAATGAGAAGAAAAACAGGGGATCTGTGAATTGGAATGAACTGGAATTGTCAGAATATCTTTCAAAAAAGTATACAATTTACATTCGAATTATAGCAATTGGACCGTTTGAATACCTTGAAATAATAATAGATGAACAATCAGTTTTATTCGGATAATATGAGTATCGATTGCTTAGAATACGCATTGATATTTTACTATAAAGAAATCTCGAAATATGAAAATTTAATTTTACAATCTTGACGATGGAGTGTTTCTTTAATTGTTTTTGTATTTACATAAAATATATTTATATTTATATCAATTTGTTAAACGATTATAATCCTTTGTATGATATAGTTAGGAGAAAGGCAAGAAATATACTTGAAAACAATTTAATACACGTGAACTCTGCTGTGTTGAAGTTATGTAAATGAGACCCAGATATTGAACAGAGCGAGGTTTACATCTGAAACGATGATTGTGAGGACTAAGTAATATAGTGGGATACAAACACTATGATTCGATTTCGGAGAGATTGAATTAATGTTATTTTATGAGGGAAATTTTTAAATACAATTTTTTATTATAAACGAATACTTTTATTAATTGTAGAATAAATCGTGAAGAATACTGTAAATGACGAGAATAATACATACAAATAAAAGAAAATTTAACATTAAGTACAATCACAGATGATGAAGACCTTTTCATCAATTACCATTGTCTAAGCAACAGCGATTTCATGTTTCAAATTAAAATTGAATTCTTCCATGAAAATTGTATAAATAAAGCATTGGCCAGGATATCTTATAATCGCAAACCAATTACAAAATTTTATACTAAATAGTTTTTATTTATTTATCTATATATCATTGACTGGAATGAAGATTGTTTTTATAATTTCATTTTGAAAATTAGACCCTAAGTTTCCTTCACACATTTCATTTGATCTATAAAAATAATTAATTGCTAATAGTTTATGAATTCTACTCAATCTACGAAAATAATAAATTAAATGAAAACTTACAAACTCTATCCAGTAGATTGAATGGTCTAACTATGAAATTGTAAAATATAATAAACTTTACGTTTTTACGACAAATATACATTCTTTGAATATATAATTTAGTACTGATACTTTGAACTATATCTACGATCGATTTTGATCCAAGTTTCTGATATAATATACGAGAAATTAAACATTACTGCAATAAGTTTCTAGATCTATTAAACAGAATTTATAAATCTTTACGCATGCATTTTGTAGATCATATAAGATATAAAAAAGAAAGTTGAAAGTTTAATTTTAAGAATGAAATTGTAAAAGTTCATGAATTAATCCTCTTAATTAATTTTTCTTACAATTGAAAATTTGACCGATTTATAAATATTGAAATGCTAGCGCCGCGTAGCGGTGAAACAATTGAATTAATGCTGTCTTTGTCCCGCGTTATCGTCTTCCTTCTTTACGCAACGTTGTCATCTATAGGTATGTTAGAGAAGCAGCACATTAATTCAAGCCAGTGTTGATAGATGACAGGACATACCTCATTCTTGTCTCATTTTTTAATGCAACCATTGATTGACTAGGATAGACCTCATCACAGATGAGATTTATGATCATATATGAATACCATATACATATTTTACTTGGATAATTCTCCAATTTACAGTTACTTAAACCACAGAAGAGGTATATGAATAGACATTCTACCTTATGGACTTTCGTGGCCCATGCCCTGAAATACCAACATACTAAAAAATCACTGACTTTTTAGCGCACTCTACATTTAAACAACGGTGAATTGGGCTCGGTGAAATGAGCCTCCCTACTAGCTCAAGGTTAATCTAATATTTCGTTCATCGGTGATCCGGAACAATTGATAATTTTTTTTAAAACTTCCAAAACACGACGGAAGTTTAATTGGTAATGACTCTCCCTACCACTCAAGGTTAATCTAACATGTTTGATCGTCATTGGTCCGGAACAACTGATAATTTTTTTTAATGTTTCTAAAAACAGTTTTTCCGTTATACTAATCAATAATTTAATAGTTTTGACATCTCTGTCGCAAAGTTACACTTTCACGAATTACGTTAAACGTAATATTTTATTAATTTTCTATCGTTTTTCTAAAACTGAGTTTACACTTTCGTGATATTAATTTTTAAATTATAACTGCATCGATGCGATCGATACATTAAATAGAAATTTATGTGGAGAAAAGTTAGGTAGTCAAAAATTATATAAAGCAGTGATCGTCTCTTTACAATAATAATAACAACATTGTAAGAATTTTTGCTCGTTTATTGTTTCAGAGAGCAAGAAATATGTGTATTGTGTAACTGTCTTTTCCGTTATTGTTAATAAAATAACTTAATTATTACAAACGAATAATTCAAACTATGAAATAACGTCTAGGAATTCAATCACTGATTCAGTCGTTAGAAGTAAATAGTTAAAATTGGTAAAAATTGGTATGATACATGAAAATATAATCGAAATGCAATTGTTTTACAGTTCTAACGATTCATTTGAAACGATTCTAGACGTTATTTAATAATTTTCACGAGTTTCATATTACGATTAAATAATTAAAATAATTATTTTAATAATTTAAAGTCATTTCTCTTAATTACATTCAAGATTCTTATAAATTATTAGTCAAAAATTTTAAACAATAGTTAGAAACATTACGGAAGAGAATTTATTGTTTAATTATTCCAAGTAAATTATTAGAAATATTAGATAATGTTTAAACAATTAGAATATTCAGAAGTTTGTGACATATAATATTAATTTATGTAAAAAATAATTATATATTACAGTCAAAAACATGGATGTAAACATGGATGTAGAGCAGAATATTTTTGATTACTTCATCTCTGGTTACTAGCTTCACATTTCGCTACTAAAAGTTGACAACACTGTAATAGGTCTAAAAAATCATATTGCTAGCGCATTTACTAGTTCCCCAACTCACCGTTGTTTAAACTTAGAATGCGCTAAAAAACAATGATTTTTTACTATGTCGGTATTTCAGGTTACGAGCCACAAATCTCATAAAATTGGTCTATTCATATATCTCGTCGATGCTAGTAATTTTTTCCTGGTCGGTATTTCAGATTTTGAAACATGAAATTCCTTTTGATATCTGGTCTATGCTATTTTTAACCAATGACTACAGAATGTTTGCCACATGACCGGCAATAGATCCATTGTTTCACCGCTACGCGACGCTAGCATTTAAATACCAAAAAACGCGGGCAAATTTCGCGACGACGTTATACAACGTATACGACGACGTTAATTCATGAACTTTTACAATATCGTCCTTAAAATTAGACCGCTAAGTTTCTTTTTATATACTATTTGATTTATATAATTCATACATATTTACAAATTTTACTCAGCAGGACGGAACAGCCGTTCAAATAATATCATAAAACTAAATTCAATTGTAAATCGTATGGATAATTGCTGTAAATTAATTGCTTTAAAGTTAAAGAATTCAACTGTTTTATCATCTTCTTAACTCTGTCTTTTTTTCATATTTTTGAAGTAATTTTAAAAAACAGAATAAGTAATTCTTTTAAAACTTATATTTTCTTAAAATCACTTAGTTACAAAAAAAAAAAAAATTACATGTTACAATTCAGTATCAAGATATAATATAGCCAAAAAGAAATAAAAAAAAGAAAAGTAGATGATAAAATATAAAATAATTACTTCATTTGAAAGTTTCATATTAGAGACAAAAATCAATAACAATCTAAACCACTTGATTTTGTTTCAAATTCTTCGAAATATTCTATATAGTCTTCTCTTTTTAATACCATTTTTTCTACTTTTAGCGGCAAGTTAATTCCAACTAATTTGGATACTGCGCTTCTTTTTGCTACACCAGCATCTTTTCGTTTTTTACGCTGTGACTTCTTTTTGATCTCTTTTATTTTTCTTTCAGACATATGTAGTTTCTGAATGTGTTGCGCTAATCTTTGTTTTGTTCCAATCTTGACTTTGCATATATCACATTCATATTTCTCCCCAAGATGATAAGTTCTTATATGATGAGTTAAATTATTTTTAAAGTAATAACTACGAGGACATTTTTCATATGGACAAGGTATAACAGATCTATCTTCCATGTGAACTTGAGAATGAATTTTTAAATGCCTTTTGTTTAAAAACGTTTTATCACATTTCGTGCATTTATAATCTGAAAACAAAACTGCACCAATTTCGTCTTCATTTACAAAAAAAAGGAATAAACTTTAAAAATTAATATTTACCAGATACATGTTGGGTTTTCATATGAGCACAAAGAAACATCCATTTTTGAAAAACTTCATTACATCCTGGTATACTACATGGATATTGTTTACCTCCTTTTTCATGATATGATATATGTATTTTAAATTTTTTAGGATTTATAAAACTTTTATCACATTCACTACACTTATACAGAACTCGATTATGTTCTGCCATATGTATCTTCAACTGATACTTTTTGGCAAAAGTAAAATTACATTCTTTACAAGTTAATTTATCATAATTCATATGCACTGTGTTATAGTGACGTTTCAAGTTATGTTGATTACTAATACATATTGAACATTCTGGACACCTTAAATCAAATTAAAGTTAATAAAATATTCCTGTGAAAAATAAGGTTTACTTACATATACAACTGCTTCGTTTGACTGTGGGTTTTTATATGCCGTTTTAAATGACAATTATTAGTATAAGCTTTATTGCATTCTGGATAAGTACATTTGTAATTTCTCTAGAAATACATAAACCATATCTAAATTAAAAAAACATATATCTGTATGCATAAGATATGATCATTACCTCTCCTGTATGAAATCTTATATGTCTTTTTAATCTTGATGGTCTCAGAAAAGATAAATTACACCCATCATAAGTGCATTTATATGGCTTTTTATCTTTTTTAATTTCAACAACAACGTCAGTGTCTTTTATCATGTTATTAGATTCAGACAAAATACTTTCAGATTCTGAATTTATATCGTGTCCCATTATGAATTATTTTTTTCAGAATATTCCTAAAAATAAGTTGTTGCCCATGAAATATAATTATATTAATATATATTCTAAAATATAATTATAATAAGTACTTGTAACATGTTAAGTACTTGTAAGTACTTGTAACATGTAACATATACATACATGTTTATATTTTACTTATATATGTATATATATATATATATTCTATTACTTTAACTTATCATTGTTAATATTACTATTACTAGTTATTATTATTACTATTATTACTTATTACAACTACCTTAACTATTATTACTATAATAATAATAATTTTCTTTTGTAATGGTTACTATTTTAACTTAACTGTAATAACATAAATTCATCAAATATTTTACACGCATTATATACAAAATATTTTTTATCACTAAAATATTAATATTCATACATGGTACTGATTCTATTCATACATCATTAATTCTAACACATGACGCTGTGTCGTTCACATTTTTTGACATGATTGCTATCGATCAACGAATAACCAGTTGTTGATATGTTTTAAACGAGTTAGATTTTTGAATAATTTTTGCGACACAAATAGTAATTGGCAGTGAGCTTTTGCATGGCTGGGCACGTAACTAATGTCAATAAGCTTCAGTATCATCAAAACTATATGATATCGTATACTTTGCAAAAAATCTTGCAAAAAGAGTAGTGGATGAAAAAAGGTTAGATTTACCTATGTTCGTTTGACAGCATATGAAGGTGAGATCCGATGTCAAATTAAGATTACATAAATAGAACACGAGCTAACTATAGATTGTGATATATAAGCGCAAAAATATTATTTTTAAAGGACGTATCTGTAATCTTGAATCGTGGAAGATGCGATGCGTATAAAATTCTGCAAGAGGTTAGATCATCTTTGATGTTTGACGTTAGATTTTAGTTTTGTATTAAATAATAATGTAATTTAATATTGTAATAATACAAGATATTCATATTATTTTTGTATGAACGAAAATTACAATGCGCATTACAATGATGAAAAGACATTTTGCGCCAGGATGGTGCTAAATATAGCACTAACAAAAATAATAATTGCATATTTTTAAAATTAAATATAATCAAAAAGAAAATATAATAAAAATGATTATAACTAAATATAACAATTAATTACGATACGTGTAAATAAATCAATAATTAAAATTTCAAAAGAGATATATTTAATAAAATATCATTTTGCAAATGTTTGAGTTCAGATTCTACTATTCAAAAGTTATATAATTTATATTTCAATTAAATAACAATATGTTATAAATAATATCAGAATCTTCAGAAAAATAATGGGTCAAACACTCAGCGAGCCTGTGACAGCTAAGAAATTAGCATGCTGCAGAAATTCAAACTATCGAGTTGGGAGTTCATGCATGCAAGGATGGCGTATAAAGATGGAAGATTGTCATGTTCATATACTTTCATTGCCTGATGATCCTGGTACTGCATTTTTTGCGGTATATGATGGTCATGGAGGTGAGAACGATAATTATAATCAATAATAATAATCAAACTGTAATTTTTCATATTACAAGTCAAAGATATCATTGTATTGTTTAATATTTCACATAATATTAAACATCAATTTAATAAAAAAAAAAGGAAATATACTTTAAAAGAAAATTTCAGATTTTACTATTGTTATAATAGGAAGCTGTAAATAAAAAGTTATAGTAAATAAGTCTAATTAATTTCTTTCATGCTCAAAAAAGTGATAAATCATATTAACAGGTGCAGCAATGGCACAATATGCTGGAAAACATCTTCATGAATACATAACTGGAAGAAGTGAATACAAAGCTGGTAACATTGTTCAAGCTATACAACAGGGTTTTTTGGAATTAGATAAAGCAATGCAAAATGATGCAATACTTAAAGATGAACAAGCAGGAACTACTGTTATAGCACTTCTCATAAAGGACAATGTTATATATAGTGTAAGTTCTTTCTAATCTACACGTTTTCCTTTCTTTCATTGTTGCTCTTATTAATTTATCTTTACAGGCAAATGCAGGTGATAGTAGGGCAGTGGCAAGTATTAATGGTAATGCTGTTCCACTTAGTCGCGATCATAAACCTACATTAAAAGACGAACGAGAAAGGATCGAAGCTGCCGGTGGCTGGGTTGAATTTAATAGAGTCAATGGTCAATTAGCATTATCCCGTGCTTTGGGCGATTTTATGTTCAAACGAAATGAACGTAAACCACCGCAAGAACAAATCGTAACTGGTAACAGATAATAAATAACAATATTGAATTTTTAACAAAAAATTAATACATATGACTATGTATTTATAGCTTTTCCTGAAGTTCAAGAATTTCAAATAACAGAGGATTGGGAATTTGTTGTGTTGGCTTGTGATGGTATTTGGGATGTAATGACAAGTAATGAAGTCGTGAATTTTATAAGAACACGTTTAGTGCAGTCGAAATTTGGAGCAGGAGAAGAACAAGATACAATGGATCCTGAAGAAATTTGTGAAGAACTTATGAAACATTGCCTTGCACCAGATGCCTTAATGGGTACTGGTTGCGATAATATGACAGTTGTTCTTGTATGTTTTCTTCATGGAAAACCATATTCTCATTTAATTTCACGCTGCAAGGAGTCCATTAGTGCAAATTAGTTGTATAAATTATTGATATAATTTATTATTTTGTCAATTATTTAAAATTCTTTATGTTTAATTTTATATCACAATGTCCCATTGTCATGCTTTATCATGTCAAAATTTATAAAATTTGCTAAGCTTTTTTATGAACTTCCATCGTTTCAAGTTTTATGAACAGATCTCTTAAGAAAAAAAATTGATTTTACATCAATAGTACTTAAATCTTTCGTTATAATCATCAACTTGTCTTATTCATAATTTTAAAAAACAACTTACAGATAAGTTGAATTATAAGTTTTTATTTACAATTTCGAACAATGGACAGGAAGTGTCCAAATATAAGTTCAGTAACAATTTTAGTAAAATGCAGTAAATTTTCATTCAAAGTCCATAACGGTCTTGTAAAGAAGAAACAGCCGCATTGGCAAGAGAACTTATTCTGTCTGCGACCTTATTTACTCCCTGACGTACGCTTTCTCTAACATCATCTAAATCGACTCCAGCTCTCCCACCACTAAGACGCATTGATAAAGAAGACGTGGGAGATGTTGCTGTAGAACTTCCTGTGCCAAAATAATCAGCTGATGAAATACTAGATGAACCTTCAAAACGTCGCAAATTGCTTTTACGCTCCCACTGTAATTAATTATTTAAGATTTTATTTTAAATAGAAAAATAAAACATATAGTAGAAATATTAATATATAACGCCAACTCACAGAATCATCATCTTTGCTATCCTGAAAATACTGATCTGAACTAATAGCCTTAGCACTACCAAATTTCTTTTGTGCTTCTCCTTCTACCATTGTTTTACTATCATTCTTAATATTATTTGGTTTGCTCGATGGAGCTACTCGTTTTGGTGGTTCTGGCTCTGCAATAACAATAACTTCCTCATTGCGAGATTTGTTGTTAGTATTGCTACTATATGGGGTTGATAAGGCCGCATAAAATTCGTCTAAACTAATAAAAAGATCTCGTTCAATATCAACATCTCTCGGCCTTGGTTCAGAAGCAGTTATAGTCTTTGATGATGTTTCCTGTGTTATTGTTCGCATATCACCGAGTGCAGAATGACTTGCACCACTATAAATTATATGTACTTTAATTTTACACATTATCA